TTGTTTGGGATAAATTATCACATTAATTTAATTATCTGAGCCATAGCAGTGAGTTTAAAAACAGAATGATGCAACTAGTTTAATGAAGAATCTGTCTCTGGTTATTAAATCAAGGGTTTATTTATGTAGGTAAAAGTATGTTTAACAACCTGTTAAAATGCACTATAAATCAGGAAATAGCCTTTATTTCATTCAAGATTTTCTGGGGGAGGACCCCCAGAGCACCCTTCAGTGTGCCCCTTAGACACATTAAAAGGCTTCTGAYGCCCCTGGTGATTTATAAACTAACACATGAAGTGCTCCACATGAGACTTTTTGTTGTATAAAACTATGGTTGATATTCATAGTGAGTTTAAAGGGCTGATACAGGACATGGTTGAATAGTAGTCAGTTGATGATGTGTGCAGACAGCTAAACTGAGCGCACTCTGAATACATGCTGAGTCTTGGTGGTTTGTGTGGTGGACTGGGATGGTTGGATTATTGTCCCAGTCTGCCCCTGAATACACGTCATACAGAAAATMATTTCACTGCTGCTAAAGGAGATTCCACAAGCTACAGATTCATAAGGGTGGACTTGGTTGGATGAAAATGCACTATATATATATATATATATTATAGGGGTGCAACGATACAGAAAATTCACGGGTCGGTTCGATACTTTAGTCTCACGGTTCGATATTTTTTCGATACAAAAAAGATAAATTTTCTTGCCCCTTTTAACTTGTAGTTCATTTATATTGATTATGAACATTTGTTTAAACCTCAAAAGTACAGTTTTTAAATTAAATGTTGCTGAAACAGCAAGTTTCTCAGTGGATCTGTGCTCAAAAATGCAGCCTAGGTGGAGTAGTCGAACACAGATCCACTGATCCTTCAACACAGAGCATCTTCAGAAGACAAGCTGATAAAGTAAATTTTTTAAATCTGTATTGTGCGATACAGCACTGTTCGATACGGTTCAGTATCGAATTGTTGTACCCCTAAAATAGTATATATAGTCCATTTACTTAATGTTTCACTTAGCTTTTCCATTTTAGCTTCATTTTTGTTTAATAAATACCTTGATTAAATCTGTTGTATTTTTTACCTCTAAGGTTTGATTTGAATAATTTTAGAACCTAGAAGAGAACAAATAGCTTGTTTCATTATTATTTGTTGATACTTAAATCCCTATATTTGAAAAGAAAAGTGGATTTTCCTTTCCCCATGACTGTATTCATATTTGATTGCATCTTTTGTGTGATTAGGATGGATGTATAAAATATGTCATGTTGAGGGTTTACTGATCGCAGCTCAAAGGTTACTTACACCCCTAATTTAAAGCGAAAATCAAAGTGATTGAGCACATATCCATCATGCAATCAGGAACAAATATTTGACACAACTGTAAAAAGGTTGGATGGAGTCGTCATCCGTGTCAACCAGCTGCTGCACTGTGACATTCAAAGCGTTTAGGGATGGTGAGGATGCTTGATTGCTCTGTGGGAAGACTCGAGAGTCAATCAGAATATGTGAGCAGACGTTCATGATAGAGCAGGGGAGAAAAACACACCTGTAGCTCCGAAGTTTACCCATCAGTGGCTTCTGATTTATTGGAAGGCGTTTAAGCCTAAAAGTTTACTCTGCCTCTCAACAGTGCAAGATGCAAATGCATGCTAACCTTTTTATTTGTCTCTGTAAGAATGTTTTTTGTGTGTTTATAAGAAAATTTTAGACACACATGTTGAATTTAAGAAAAGCTCCATGCAATAATGTTGCTGTTTGTTTGTTTGTTTGTTTGTTTGTTTGTTTGTTTGTTTGTTTGTTTGTTTGTTTGTTTGTTTGTTTGTTTGTTTGTTTTATAGCTGCTCCCCTTTAAGAAAACTTGCCTAAGGATTTGGTGATTTTTTATGCTAGATGCTCTTGCTTACACAACCCTAGCTCCATGTCTTACTAAAGTATTGCATCCATAAAATCCACTTTTGTGGCCTCTGATWGTAATATTACTCCCATTCGTCTATGGACAAAAATGATTGGAACTGTTAAAAAAAAATGATTGGATTGAGTAAAATTCAACATGGCTGTTAAACCCAAGCAACCTCAACCAATATAAAAATGTCTGTAACTCAGACAATTTTACAGATTTTGTGTTAAAATTTAGGATGAAAAAAGGTGCTTGCCCTTAAGATGGGCACAATAAAGTGTGACCACAAGATAATGTTGAGCCTAACCACAAGTGACTGAAGTATGTCATAGTAATTTATTCCTATGTTAAAAGTTAAATTAATTGAAACTTGCCAATGTTAACAATCAAAAGTTTCTGTATAAAAATTATAGGAATAAGTATGTTGTGCCCATGCATTATCTTGTGGCTATGAGGTAGTAATGCATGGGCATGCACTTATTTATTTTTTGTTTGTTTTCAGATGGGCTCAGTAGTTTTTAACAAAAAAAAAATACAAAAACTATTCTGGCTTTGTCACAGTTTGTGAGAAAGAACTCGGCAAGACAGATTGAACAAGAACATGAATGGTAATAAATAGCATTATTGTAATATACATTAGAAGATAAATATAATATCAAAAATAAAAACTTAATACAAAGCAAAAGCTGATGAAAAAAATAAGAAACGGAGCAGTAGACATGGCCTGAAGCACAACTATTTTCAACTGATTAAGGAATGAACACAGAATGATTATGGACATGTACTGATAAATAATAATAAATAAATGGAACCTGGCAAGATGACCATTATGGACAGGTGAGAGTGGGCAGGAGCTGAAATAGCAGAAAGTGATGATCGAAAAAACACACCTGAGTGACAGAAAATACAGGAAACAATCACAAGAACTAAACACCAAAGACAAAAAAAAAAAACATAAAACACAGCAACATGAGAAAATAAACAAATTCACAAACCTCAAGAAACACTAAGAAATCCAGGATATCTTAGTAATATAGTCACTTATTATCTAAAAACATCAGCTCTACCAAACAAAACATCAGCTAAAACAAATGTTTGCTTGATGTTACTGAAGAAGTAATTGTGTTCACAAAAAAATAAAATTTGGGGTAAAAAGAGGCTGTCTCTCGCCGCTCCTTTGGATGGAGTTAAGTGAAGCGAGGACAGGAAGCAGCAGCACTCACAGCTGCTGTGAGTGTCGCAGTGACTTGTTCACTGTGGATGAGGGAGCAGAGAGATAACTGCTGGGAGCTCCTGCTTGGAGCTGGAAGCCTTCGCTGACTATTGTGACATTTCTATTCTGCTTTTCTGCCACTTTTCTAACCAAAATGTTGCAAACCAATTTGTAAGCCTTTATTGACACATTTCGCTTAAAAGCAAACTGTGCTTGGGGTTGTTGTGCACTATTGTACATTACATGATTGAAATAATAGCACGTCAAGACCTAATAGGCTCTTTTTATTTCCACTTGAATWAAGGAAAGCTCATACTACACTTTGATTTTCACTGAAGCAAAYTTATGTTTGATTAAAAATGAGCATTCCTTGAAAGTGTTCATATTGCCCATCACCATGCATGTCAAACATCTAAGTCTTGCACAGTTTTTTAGTGCTCAACATATGTGATTAAGATGCCTCTCAGCTACTACCACACCAAAATGTATCTAAACRTCTATAAAACTGACAGAGTTGTAGCCCTGTTTGAATTTGCTAAGTTAGATCAGCTCTGGAAAAAAATGAAGAGACCACTTTCAAATCATCAGTTTCTATGATTTTACTCTTTATATGTATGTTTGAGTAAAATGAGCATTGTTGTTTTATTCTATGAAGTACTGACATTTCTCCAAAATTTCAAGCAAAGGTTTAGTATTTATTTGCAGAAAATGAAAAATGKTCAAAATGACGACAAAGATGCTGTGCTTTCAGACCTCAAATAATGCATAAAAAAGTTCATGTTCCTTTAGAAACAACAATACTAATGTTTTAACTCAAGAAAAAAAATCAATATTTGGTGGAATGTTTTCCACCAAGTACAGGGAAACTGTGCAGTGGTTTCTTCATTTGTTTTCCAGAGCTGTATGTGGCAGCCATCTTGAGTTGGGATACATCCAAAAGTTTATCATCCAGTGATTACTTTCTGAAAGTTTCATTAAAATTTGAACACATACACACACACTGGTTGCTGAGGATAATTATATCAAGTCGGATTTTGGAAAATATAGAAATGAACCTTGGCACTCAATTGATGAAGTATTTTTTGCACAACTTGTTTGTACATGAATTTTGGTACCACAGAAAATGTGACTAAAATATGGGTCTATAAGATTTTCATATTGTTTCATTTGTCCTGATGCATCTCASTAAYCCAGGTAGAAAAAATCWAAAAGAAAAAATAAGTAGGTCCTCTGGATGGGTTCTTCTTTAGTGAAACGTTTCATCTCTCCTCCAAGAGACTTCTTCAGTCTGATGARTTTCAGGTRAACTCAGCCTTATAAGCACTGCCTCCACWTGGACAAAYAGGTTAGTCACATGTAAAAGAGGGCCATCGACWAACAAYAGGCTTGATTGGCTCTATTGATCATAGAGGGTCATGTGCCCCATCACCTGAACAATAGAGYCAATCAAGCCTAYCGTTAGTCGATGGYCCTCTTTTGCATGTGACTAACCTGTTTGTCCATGTGGARGCAGTGCTTATAAGGCTGAGTTYACCTGAAAYTCATCAGACTGAAGAAGTCTCTTGGAGGAGAGATGAAACGTTTCACTAAAGAAGAACCCATCCAGAGGACCTACTTATTTTTTTCTTTTTGATTGTTTCAGTTGGTTTATCATTTCCATTTTCCACAACATCCTAACTTGTTCTAAACTTGGGTTGTATTCAGATTCCTTTCCTTAGTCATCAGAGGTTCATCAAGCACTCAAAGAGCCGTTTAGAGCAACACGAATCATTGATTTTCTGTTATTCGTTTGTCAAACAGTGAACTATGACTGCCTGAGGTGATGAATTTGAAAGGGAGCTCCTGCTGACGCATGTCCTCTTGCTCTCTGCTGTCCCTGCAGTTTGCTCTCAGTTCTCCCGCGGGGTGTAYGCCATCTTCGGATTCTACGACAAGAAGTCCATGAACACCTTGACCTCGTTCTGYGGCGCTCTGCACACCTCCTTCGTCACGCCCAGTTACCCCACGGATAACGAGGTGCAGTTTGTCATCCAGATGCGGCCCGCCCTCCGGGGCGCAGTGCTCAGCCTGCTCTCCCACTACAAGTGGCAGAAGTTTGTTTACCTATACGACACTGATCGAGGTAAGTTAAAGGGCAAATCTTGAGTTGGAGGTGACTGAATTACAGCACAGAACTATGTTAGGGTGACACCGAAGTTTAATATGACAGCTCTGTAAACGCCTGAAGTGTTAACATTGCACTCCCTAATAGAATATTTTTGTTATGTAAATGAGAAATATATTCACTTGCAGTGCATCASACTTGTAATAACAAACTCCACTTTAAAACAATGGCAGTTTTACGAGCAATAACCTTTGGATCATTCGAAGAGTTGACTGGTCGCTGCCAGTTAATCATGTGTTTAATCGTGTTGTTGATATTGGCTCGTCTTTCATCTGAAATGAGGTATGTCACAGCGGCTACTAAATTGTTTGCAACTAAAATCAGACTCAATGGAAGCCCGTGGAAACCGCTTATTGTGTTGCATCAATGAGGGGGTTCGGCGTATTCCCCAGATTGCGGTGCACTGCATTGTTGATGCTGTGTATATGACAACCTGTCAACAAGGCAAAGTGTTCATTTCTTGGCTTTCTAATGTCAGATGGGAATATGAGCTCATTATCTCTCAGTAGAATAATGATTCTCTCCTCCTACAATAACTTCAATTTGTTCAAACAGCAGCTTGGCAGGGAGAAGGATGTGTGAAGGAGATGACAGACAAATCCAAATACTGTCTCTCTTTTTGAGCATGCCCAACACTGGTCTGATTCTCTCGCACTGTCCGTTTAAAAATGACTACAAACTGTAATTTGTTACGCAGCTGTAAAATAAAAAGTGCAAATTATACACCAAAACCTGCAGCTCCCATTGGTATACTGTGCTATGACTTTTGATAGCAATTTGTTGTACAATGTAGTCAAAAAGAAAAAAAAATTGTATAGGTCTTCTGGACGGGTTCTTCTCTAATGAAACGTTTCGTCTCTCCTCCAAGAGACCTTCAGTCTGAGAGTTTCAGGCAATATTCAGGCTTTTAAGCACTGCCTCCATGTGACTGATACTCACATCACATGTCTATCGTTGACACCTAATTAACACCTATTGTTAACAGGGGTGGAGTGATACTGGCAATAGCTGCACTGTAGGAGGGGGACAACTGAAAACGGAGGCCTCCACCTCTGTTTAATGATGGACGGTCTTTCTTCACAAAAATGGCTTCTTTTACTCCTCTCTCAAACCAACATTCCTCTCTATCAAGAATGAGAACATCCTCATCTCTGAAAGAGTGACCGCTGGCCTGTAAATGAGTGAAAACTGCAGAGTTCTGGCCATTAGATGTAGCTCGTCTGTGTTGGGACATTCTTTTGAACAGTGGCTGCTTTGTTTCCCCGATGTATAACTGGTCGCAGTCCTCCTGGCACTTAACAGCATATACAACATTGCTCTGTTTGTGCCGGGGTCCCACTGGGTCCCAGTGGCTTTCAAACCCCAAAACACATTACGGCAAAGGCTGGTTCACCCCAAAGATCCGGTTCCCCGGCACAAACAGAGCAATATTGTATATGCTGTTAAGTGCCAGGAGGACTGCGACCAGTTATACATCGGGGAAACAAAGCAGCCACTGTTCAAAAGAATGTCCCAACACAGACGAGCTACATCTAATGGCCAGAACTCTGCAGTTTTCACTCATTTACAGGCCAGCGGTCACTCTTTCAGAGATGAGGATGTTCTCATTCTTGATAGAGAGGAATGTTGGTTTGAGAGAGGAGTAAAAGAAGCCATTTTTGTGAAGAAAGACCGTCCAGCATTAAACAGAGGTGGAGGCCTCCGTTTTCAGTTGTCCCCCTCCTACAGTGCGGCTATTGCCAGTATCACTCCACCCCCTGTTAACAATAGGTGYTAATTAGGTGTCAACGAYAGCCATGTGATGTGAGTATCAGTCACATGGADGCAGKGCTTAAAAGCCTGAATTTTGHCTGAAACTCTCAGACTGAAGAAGTCTCTTGGAGGAGAGACGAAACGTTTCATTAGAGAATAACCCGTCCAGAAGACCTATACAATTTTTTTCTTTTTGATTTTTAACCTGGACTACTGAGATGCATCAGGATGTAGTCAAAATTTTATTAAAATATATTAAGAGACAGATGGGATTCTGGGAAAACACACAAGTCAACCTAGACCTTGATGGAATTCTATAGCTCAGTCATACTTCACAGTAGAAACATCATTCAAAGTTTAAAACGGATCACAAACATTTTGACTTTTGTCCTTTCTATCATTTTTTATTATTTTTACAGTTTTTACCACAGAATGTCCCACTGACATAAAGTTATAGATCAAAATGTGGCATTTTTGTTTTTTCACCCTGTGTCTCTCTTACTACTGTAGTATTAATGGGATTTTCTCAAATGCACCATCAAGCTTCCACGGATGTTGGTGAACTGTAGCTCAATTCACTTTATCTTTCGTGAAGCTATTTAACTCATCTGATCTTCTACATAAAACACGATACAAGCTGTTAGGTCCCTGTACGACCGGTGCCAGATCTTGGTCCGCATTGCCGGTAGTCCGTCGGACTCATTTCCGGTGAGAGTTGGACTCCGCCATGGTTGCCCTTTGTCACCGATTCTGTTCATAACTTTTATGGACAGAATTTCTAGGCACAGCCAAGGTGTTGAGGGGATCCTTTTTGGTGACCTTAGGATCACATTTCTGCTTTTTTGTGGATGATGTGGTTCTATTGGCTTCATTAGATCGTGATCTCCAGCTCTCACTGGAGCATTTCACAGCCGAGTGTGTAGCGGCCGGGATGAGGATCAGTGCCTCCAAATCTGAGACCATGGTCTTGAGCCAGAAAAGRGTAGAGTGCCTTCTTCAGGTCGGGGAAGTGGTCCTGCCCCAAGAGTTTAAGTATCTCGGGGTCTTGTTCATGAATGAGAGAAGAATGGAGCAAGAGATTAACAGGTGGATTGGTGCTGCGTCTGCAGTGATGCAACAATGCTTCATTCTGTTTACAACCTTTCATAGGCACGCTGGAAAAGGGTTAGCCTGGTAAAAACCAGACCCTTGTCCTTCATTTTGCTTCGTACAAGGGTCTGGACTCTCGCTATAGAGAAGTGATTCTTGCTGGAGGCGTGGCCTCTGTTGAAATTTAAAATGATTGGATAGGTTGGCCGCAACGTATGTGTATGCCAGCTCCACTGTGAAGGAGGCTAAGCTAAGAAGCTAACTGGAAATTGTGTGCCCTGTAAACAACCGTACTGAGAGGAGAGAAGTACCGAGCTGAACAAGACGACTGTAAATGAGAGCTGCTGCTTTGTCAGATAAATTTAATGTAATTTGGAAGTCTTATCAACACGGAATGACTTCAATCACTTCCTCCACTGCCGTATGCTAAACTAACTAGCAGACACTGCGTAGAAAATCGACGTTCTGTTCTCTGATTGGCCCAAACAAAATTCTCCTGAAGAAATCCTTGTCTATGGGAGAAATCCCAGACGGAGCAGTGAAGGAAAACTAGAATTGAGCGGAACAACTATGTAGGAATGCAAGGGCCAGGCTATAAAAGGGTAGTCTCCTTTCAGGACTGGACTGGGAAATAATTAGGCTTACAAGCTCAACAGGTGTGTAGTTCCACCAGGTGTTTGCCAACCGTTGTTGCTGTGGAGCTGTGTGGGGGAGGCGAGGGAGCTCGGCTGCAGACTGAGCTCCAGGGAAAATAGGTGGTGCTTTGTACTGGCACACGTTTAGGTAGCTCCAAATGTCTACCGCAGGAGATTCAARGGTTTGAGTGAAAGCAACACTCTGGTTATGTGTTTGATGAGGTAATGACATCATAACATGATATAAAGCTCAAAAAAGTAAACTTTGACTAACCCCCAACTGCCTCCCTTTATTATCTGATGAAAGTTGTTGTGCCTTATTTTTCAGTCTGCCTCTCCCTGTTTGGATGACAGACTTGGGCACATTGTTACAATGGTGACCATAATGAGCCACTGGCAGCATTAATATTTCTTTTTATCTTGGTTCTCTTTTCCCATCTTTTACAAATCATACATTAAAAGCTATGCACCTTTTTAGTGTAGATTATTACAAAGGTATGTTGGAGCTCCGAGTTATAACTGCACCGGCACCCTTCAGATTTTTGTCTTGTTATAGAATAGTTACATGTATCCTATAAAAAAAGCCTGAACCTGCAGGTATGTTTCTGTCTTGTTGTGTTTTTAATGGTCCAACATGACACCATCACCTCTCTATATTGAGCTTTAAGGCAGAATACAAAATGTGTTTTATGCAGGTTTTTCTGTCTCTGGGTCTCCAGCCTTGTTTGGTCCACAGCTGAGGGCCTTAATCCTCCACACAGCCCTGCAGATAATGTGTGGTTAATTAGGGTCATTCTGACTAGGACACTCACTGGATCTCCCCTGTGGATGCTTGAAACCCACATGTCCTTCAGCACAAACCAACCCCTAATCCCCACATTTTTACTTCTGTCTAGCAACTAAGGCTGTCAGGGGCAGAGCTTGATTCATCGCAGAGAGGGAAGGGTTAGGAGGGAGTAGCCTGAAATACGAAAATTGAAGAGGTGTTAGAAAGATGGGGTGAGAGCGATAACAAACGGCCGTGGTCTTTGAAGAATTCAAAGGGCAACGCAGAGAGGTAAAACAAGGAGAAGGAAACAAACACGAATCCAGTCCGGCAATTAAGGCAACAGCAGGCGCTTGTGATTTACAGCCTGTTACTTTTGTACAGACAATTCCCAGTGCAGAGCACATCCGCGTGCCGAGGCGCATGCCAAACCACTTTTACCTCTCTTCTTACTGCCAGCGGTGTAAAACGATCCCTTATTAGTGGGAGGACATTGGCCCCAGGAGGGGATTAAAGTCGTTTATTGATGCACTTCATCCAGCACTTTGGGGGGCTTTGACACTTGGCTCATCAAGCAGACAGATGTGTCAGAGAGCCTCTACCTCCTCTTATCAGGTAGTGCAGCTCCCCCAACATTGTGGACAACTGACTGCTGACTAAACCAAGAGGGGTGACAGGGGAAAATAGTTGTTTAAGGGTTTGTTTTCATTTTACCA